CGGCACCGATACCCGAGTGGTGTCATACCTGTCAGCTGACGCGCCGCGCGTCCGTCTCGCGGTGGGTGGGTGGGGCCCCCACCGTGGGGGAGGGGGCTGTCGACGAGATGAGCTGAACTCCGCTCTTAATGCGATGTTGCAATGCGTCGTGCGTCAACTCCGTGCTCCGTGCCCGCGCCCCGTGAGAGCCGGGCTGTGGAGGCCGCCGGCGGGCGGGCCGCGCTTTGGGCGCTGCCGACGACGGGCCATATGTACGTAAATGTCTCCGCGGCCTCTGTATTCGGTTGGTGGTGGGTGACGACCGCTGGCATGCCGGAAGGGCTTGTGGTTCAGAATGGTGATAATGATCTAGTTGATATGCTATTTATGCAGTTTCATGTGCTCTTTACTGCATCTTTTGTGGGCGGATCGCGGAAGAGTGGAAGTGTGATGGATGACTGGACTGTGGCAGTAATGCTGTTTATTTGACAATAAATGCACTTAAAAAAAAAAAAAAAAAAAAAAGACCCACGGTTACCGAGATACTGCACGGGGACCGGACCCGTGTCGGGCAAGTTGAGCCATTGTCGCCCATTTTTGCAAGCCGATTTATGCATGTAAAGTCTATGACGCGAATTTGCACTTTTTGAGCACGCGCCATGTGCTCACCACCGGCCCGATCGAGCTGTGACTCTTCACAGGCACGTTACCCATCCTTGTTCTATAAGTTGCGCGAATTTCAGCGCACTATGGAAGTTACGTCGCGATCAGCCGCTTTTTTACGCGAGTTCTTCGCGAAAAAAACCTTAGGGGGTTGCATCAACCCCTCCCCCCTGTGCCGGCGAGGGTTAAAACTTCTTACGAGCGAATTCACGTAATGAAGAAGAATAAAAGCACAATCTACTACAGCAGCCAATAGATGACTTAGGACAGGCACATGGGACTACTTTTAAATCTTGTGCGACAGAAGCAGGCAACAGTTCCGATTGCATATAATATGCTATGCATATTGCGGAATTGGGGCTCATATCGGACTCGAAAGATACGAAGTCATACGTCATAGTAACATATTTCTGTCGTGGTCAATTTGCGTAAAAAGTGAAGACCGGGTGATTACCGAGCTACTGTTCTATATCTCGGAGCTTAGTGTTTGCGTAATGCTTCTCTCTGCGTGCTTAGCATATTACTGATGAGTCATCAACACCCTTGCCTCACATCCCCCTCCCCCTCCGATCAACATTATCATTGCAAAGAGCAATGAAGTGAGCATGATGCTTCCGGTGCGGCGGTCATTAGCCGTTTCCGCTCATGTCATTTGTTTGTTTCCAACCGTTCCAGTGCTTCGAAGCACGCGAGGTTCCTGTCACTTCCGCTCTGTTTGTGTGAGAGGGGGATGTTATTGGTTTGGAAGGGGTGGCACTATGGTGCCACATGGGCAGACTCGTGTTTGTTCAGACTGCAAACAACCTTGAACAGAACTGACAGTGACTCACCCCTGCCGTGAGCTGAATTTTTATGTGATGCAAATGGTGTTGTGCTATAGCTAGCTGCTATAGGGACCAGCGGCAGTGTCAAAGATAATGACATTCACGTGATCAATCCTGTGATAGTTCCAAGACATGTGTGCTTCGTCTCGCATCTTTCACTTTATTCGTGACTGCGTCGTTAGACAAAAACCTAACGAATGTGTGCCTCATCGAAACTCCCACCCTTGCATCACATGCCCATTTCTCCCTGGGACCACACCACCCAACTTGTTGTTGGGTGTTGACCTCACTTATCGTCCCGCCCCCTGCAGGCTACAGAGACTCCGGGAGGTGATGGCGGACTCGCGGTACAACATCGACGCCTACATCGTGCCGATGGACGACGAGCACCAGTCCGAGTATGTGTCTCCCCACGACGCCCGCATCGGCTTCATCAGCGGCTTCAGTGGCTCGGCAGGTCAGTAGAGGTCGGGGCGTGCCCTGGGGTCACGTGATCGGTCAGCGCAGTTACGGAGCGGTGGGATGAAGTTCAAGAATCTTCTTTGAGTACTTTCCGCAGTATAGTTATCATCATGATACATGATCATCGTAATTGATAGGCAAGTACCTAATTGAGTCACACCGATGCTAGACTAGAATACTCTTATCCTACGTCACCTACGTCCCATGCTAAAACCACGGTGCCCCGATGTCACATCAGCGGATCCCGGTGTGTGATGGAGGCCGCTGACCTCACCGGCACGTGCTGTCTGGCTGCCATGGTGCCGCTGTCGCGTGCTGTTATTTAGGCGCAGCGCCAGACCACTTTGGCCTAGAATGACGTCGACGATGCCGACAGCCAGGTGACCTATCTCCGTGATACCGAGCCAACCCAAACTTACGGCGTCTGAGTGTCACGCTCCACTTCATTCATAAAAAACATTCATCGGATGGTAAGCCATCAGCAAGTAGTTACGGAGCGAGCGAAGCGAGCGTAGTCTTTCCTTAGATTAACGGAAATTTCTGAGTGTGAGCGGCCGGCCGGCCGTGGTCACGATTCTGCGACGCTTATATCTCAGCAACCACTTGACCGATTTACACGCGGTAATTTTTGTAGGATAGCTTCATTCCTTCTACCAAGTATTGGACTATTCCCGATGCATGTGGGTGACCCCTTATGCACGTGCCACGTGCAAAACGAAGAGGTGTCACTTTTGTGATTGTTGCAACATCTCGGTAACTATTTGGCCGATTGCGCTAAAAGTTGGCATGTAGGTAGGCACCCACTAGGCAATGCATATCCATGTGCCAGAGTTGGGGTGCTGCTGCGCGTGCGCACGTGCAGGGGTCGTTTCCAGATCTCGAGAATGGCTCGACCGATTGCGCTCAAATTTGGCACGTGGTTAGGGACCGGTTAGTAGGGCGCCGTGCAAAAGTCAGTTGGGACCCATTTTGCACGTGCGCACGTGCAGGGTGCCGCTTCCAGATCTCGAGAACGGCTGGGCCGATTGTGCTCAAATTTGGCACATCGCTAGAGACCGGTTAGTAGGGTGCCGTGCACAAGTCAGCTGGAGGTACCCCCTCGAAATTTCGGACGTGCAAGGCTCACCCTCTCGCTCGCTCCGTTATTCGCCCCAAAAGGCGTTATACTGGTGATTAGTTTTGTATACCAATTAGCTAAGACATTTTGATGGATCTCAAATAGTCGCGGAACAAGTTTGGAGCTACTTTATTGATTCGTACTGATCACTCATCAATGATGATTGATGTGACGTTCACTCCCCCCCCCCTCCTCCCCGCACATGCACGCGTAACGTTCACTGTCCTCCCCTCCTCCGTGCAGGACTGGCCATTGTGACGAAGGACAAGGCGGCCCTGTGGACGGACGGCCGCTATTTCCTGCAGGCCGAACAGGAGATGGACTGCAACTGGGAGCTGATGAGGAACGGAACTGAACCCAAGGTCAGTACCCGGTCCCAGCGAGTGACTCAGCTGGTGGCGCGGCGCATTGGCCGCACGCAGTCGCCAACACTCGACTCGGTACCATTTAGTTCCGCACTTGTTTAGGTCGTTTGGCGATGATTGTTGCACTTGTGTAACTGTGTTTGTTTTGTATGCACTTACGTTATATGCTTACATAAGGTCGGTGCAAGGATTGACGTACGAGGCGCACATGAAAATATGCTCATTTGCTATTGCTTTATCGTTGCCAATAAATGTGAGGAGCAATGCCTATCATTTTCGAATTATCGCAACAAAAAAACTGAGCATTACTCTACCGAACCAGACCCTCGATTAAAGCTGCTGCACGTTTATATTTACGCTCACAACCACGTTCCTCACTGAATGTTGACAACTGCGTCGTTCGTGCAGCCGCCTTCGGAGGTGCAGTGGCTGACCTCGGAGCTATCTCGGGGCAGCTCTGTGGGTGCCGACCCGCGACTTCTCGCTGCCAAGGACTGGCTCTACATCGACAGCCAGCTCAGAGGTCAGTCTCTCAACGTGCCGTTGCGCTGCGCTGAGGTATTCTGATTTCGATCTGTTTCATTTTTTGTCTTTTTTTAGTGAAGTTGTTCGTTTATTTATCCGTTCTTCCTTCATTTCCAGTATTGTTTTCACTTATTTTTATCATTGTGTTTCACAGCGGAAGGGATGCAGATGAAGCTGGCCTACGAAAACCTGATTGACCTCATCTGGACGGAAGGGCGCCCGCCTCTATCAGATGAGCCGATTGTAGTTCACAATCTGACATACGCCGGTACGTCCTCGGTAGAACGCTATGATTATAATCGCTAGGTTTGCTATGACACACGAGTGAGCCTGTCTCCTCACCTTGTCTCTTCAGAAGGTCAAATGCTAAAGAATAACATGAATTTGACATTCCATTTTCTCTGAAAACGTATTCTCTCCGCCATATAGCTACCTAATCGACCCACGCAACCGACCCGATTCCTTTATCTCATAGGTAAGACCTGGGAGAGCAAAGTGGAGGAGGCGCGGGACTACATGCGGGAGGAGAAGGTGGAGGTATTGCTCGTCTCGGCACTGGACGAGGTCGCCTGGCTCTTCAACCTGCGCGGAAACGACATCCCACACACACCCGGTATGGGACAGCGGACAATCGATATTCCGTGCTCGACATCACGTCCTCTGAATATCTGTAAAAAAAGTTGCAGGGGTCCATTTGATGTGAAGATAGTCCTATGGTTGACCGGGCTAGCGCAGTCATCGTGTTTCGGGTATACCCGAAACACCATTGGTTTGTATACAAACCAATCAAGCGTGATCATGACTACCTCAACTGTCACCATCCTTCCGTCTGATATGTCGTATTCTGTCGGCAGTTTCAAGGCGTATGCAGTGATTGACTCCGACAGCGTCCATCTGTGGGTAGACCCCGACAAACTGACGGACGAAGTGAGACAGCACCTCAGAGCTCCCGGATGTCAGATCGGGGATATGTGTGTCACGTGAGTACGGGCTTACTAAAGGCACTGGAAACACGACTTTTTTATCTCACTTACCACACGTGAGTGATGGTTTCCATTGTAAACCACATCAATAATTTGCCTTAGCTCTCTTGTGTCGAGGACGCAGCTTTCCTTATGAACTGTATATGGATTTCGACAAGAGAGTAATGATTGTTTGGTCAGTAAGTGTGTTTGTGGAGGAAACATTGTCTATTTAGTTTATGTTATTTTAAATCGTGATATGTCTCTCGGGAAGACGGATGTACTTTGCTGACGTACTTCTTTATGTCATCTAGGTTGCATTTTTATCAAGAAGTGCTTCACAACTTTGGAACCTACATCCGGCAGAAGTGGAAGGGAAAGATTCTTCTCCCTGACGAATCGACTTTTATTGATAGTGTTAGCTTTTCTTTTTACAACCAGGTAATAATAATATTGTTTACATTGCTTTGTAGTGTGTACTCCTGGCACTGATTTAACCCTATTAGTGGCAGGGGGGGGGGGTGTTTTTATCCACCCCTCAGGTTTTTCGGGAATATCTCCGAAACCTCTGAAGCTACGATGCTGAAATTTTTTGACTTTTCCTAAAACTAAATTGGGCACATTCCCTGAAAATTTCAAGTTCATAACTTTACCAGGGGCGGCTCCAGAGCACTGGGAATTGGGGGGTCCTATTCGTGAAGCGAGTCATTTGGGCGAAGATCACGATGCTGCACCAGTTTTACGAACAGTGAATGAAAGGTATCATGTGATAACATATACAGTTATTGTGCATCCTCTTTTGACACGTTTTGCTATAATAGGCGGATCCAGGCGTCCAAAAAGGGGGGTTATGTTTTACCTCCCAACATAGGTGCCCTGACACCGCCTATGCATGACCAATACAATTGTAGTGTTCTTTCATAAGAAAATTGTAACATAACAAGACCATTACCACCCTTTTTAGAAACAGTACCAACAAAAACCTTATTAACTATACTTTTTGTGTACCCCCAATCTCAATGATCTGTATCCGCCTATGATTTTTGAAAATGCATATTTTTAGGATCCATGTGAATTCCTGGTTCATTCTCTATCGATCGGCAAAAGTTGCGTTAAGATTGGCTCAGAAACCTGGCCGTGATAAACAGTCTAAAATGTATCTGCAATATGCTCGTTTTTACCCCCCTCTACCCCCCTATTGACATTTTTTTAATTTTTTTTTAGAAATTTAGATCTCGTTGAGCCAAATCGAATGCCGTTTGAATTTTGAAAATCGGCCGGTTAGATCTCGAGATATCAAGGGGGGGTCGTAAACAGCCCCCCCCCCCTGCCACTAATAGGGGTAGCCAGGAGCCTGCCACTAATATGGTTAAAACGGGAATTTGATCAGCATTATCTGGCTTTTCGCGTCTAAGCTCTGTACTAAGAAAAACCTTCAATTTTCTGAATTTGAGCGTAACAACGAAGGCAGTGATCTGACAAAGTTAGCTTCAGCCTGACAAGTTGATAAGTCGAGAGAAACACATGTTGATTACTTTTTGTTTGTCAGGTTCCAGCCTCAAGGTTGGTGTTTGTCGAGTCTCCGATTGTGCGCATGAAAGGAAGGAAAAATGAAGTCGAGATTGCGGGGATGAAAGCTGCCAACAAGCGCGACAGCGTAGCTCTCTGCGAATTTCTGGCCTTCATGGAAGAGGAGGTGAGTAATACACGAAGAGAGATGAGGTTAGCTCAAGCTGTGACATAAATTGCCGACTCTCTAAAACGTGTCGCCCTCCCCTACAGATTCACGCTGGCAAAGAGTGGGACGAAATATCCGCTGCCGAAAAACTCAAGGAATTCCGCGCTGAGCAGACGCTGTTCCGCGGGATTAGCTTCGAGACCATCTCAGCCTTCGGAAGCAACGGTGCCGTCATCCACTACGCGCCGAGTAACGCCACCAAGCTCCCCATAGACACCAGCTCCACCTACCTGCTCGACTCCGGAGGTGAGTACTGAGTACCTACTGAGTACTGAGTACCAAGTACCGAGTACCGAGTAACGTTACCAAGCTCCCCATAGACACCAGCTCTACCTACCTGCTCGACTCGGGAGGTGAGCCCATAGTACTGAGCCCAACCTACAGTAGCTAAGTACTCGCACACGATTACTGAGTACTCAGTTCCATGCACCGAGTACTAAGCAATATATGTAGATGCATGACCAGCTCAAGTTTGATATCCCAGTTGGAAAGGGGAGATGAGTATCGGCATATGTTTGAACTATCTGCTACAAATGGCCATGGGAGGTGATTGCGGCTGAAGATAATGCAAAAAAGAGGGTGCGGGGACCAATGAAGTGGAGAGAGAGAGAGAGAGGAGAGAGAGAGAGAGAGAGAGAGAGAGAGAGAGAGAGAGAGGATAGAGAGAGAGAGAGAGAGAGAGAGAGAGAGAGAGAGAGAGAGAGAGAGAAGAGAGAGAGAGAGAGAGAGAGAGAGAGAGAAGAAGAGAGAGGAGAGAGAGAAGAGAGGAGGAGAGAGAGAGAGAGAGAGAGAGGAGAGAGAAGAGAGAGAAGAGAGAGAGAGAGAGAGAGAGAGAGAGAGAGAGAGAGAGAGAGAGAGGAGAGAGAGAGAGAGAGAGAGAGAGAAGAGAGAGAGAGAGAGAGAGAGAGAGAGAGAGAGAGAGAGAGAGAGAGAGAGAGAGAGAGAGAGAAGAGAGAGATAGAGAGAGAGAGAGAGAGAGAGAGAGAGAGAGAGGAGAGAGAGAGAGAGAGAGGAGAGAGAGAGAGAGAGAGAGAGAGAAGAAGAGAGAGAGAAAGAGAGAGAGAGAGGAGAGAGAAGAGAGAGAGAGAGAGAGAGAAGAGAAGAGAGAGAGAGAGAGAGAGAGAGAGAGAGAGAGGAGAGAGAGAGAAGAGAGAGAGAGAGAATCTTCTTGCTTTGAACTATTTGTTCTGTTACAATAGTATATTTGGCCTGTTCTGAAATATTCAATTTGTACTTTACCGGCTACATCGTGGTCAAGATGCCATCTGTTTAGGATACTTGACAAATATTTTCATCGGTTACTTTTAAACGAAGTAAATTTTTGAAGAGCAAACAAGTTATTACGTACCAACCTACGAAAGCAGGCAATCCGCTTCATTGCTCGAATTCAACAATCAACATACTCAAACGATCCTCTCTCGATCTTCAATTCCTTTCAACACAACTAGCGAATAATCAAATAGGCAGCGGGACAAGTGCCAGCGAACGAACGAATACTTAGGTATGTATATGTCGCACGGCGAAGCTTTTCGAGCACTGGTTTTCGAGACTGTGCGAGACTCGGCGACTGTACGATCATCTGATCGTCCATGCACCGCGCACCGCGAGAGCGCACTTAGTACATAGCGCCGGCCCGACGGGGAAATAATTTACAACAGCTCGTCACCTGAGAGTGGGATTTTCAGGCATGGGCTTTCAGTCTGCCGTTGCGTTTGCATCTGCTCCCGCTTACACGTAGTGCCTTGATCACAGTCTTTGTTGGACTGAATGTGCGCATTGCGTTATATTAGTGCCTTGATCACAGTCTTTGTTGGGCTGAATGTACGCATTGCATTTGCTAAATAAATGCATAAATGAAATGAATGCATTTGGTGCCGGTGCGTCTGCATTAACTTCGCTGGTTTTCTTCAAACGACATGGTAAGCTTATGCCTTGCTTTTAGTGTTTCAGTTTATGCAAACTTTCACTGGAAAATGGCAGCTTTGGCGCGTGTAACACGATTTGATACTTAGCGTTCGATGCTCTGCAGAGCACCGATTGCTTCAGTTCTTTGCTGAGCCTTTTGCCCCACCGATAGCGCGAAAATAAGCGCGCTAAGCTTCCCGCATTTTACAAAATTATACTCCCAATAATGATCAATGCTTGGACAAAAATGCCGATATGCATTGCCATTTTAATTCAAGTGAAGAGCTAGTTTGCTGAAATTAAATATTACCTACAAATTTCCTTCGATATGGAAGTTGAACCACATTTCAATTTTTTCAGCGAATCGTTACAAAATGTGCATTTATTTTATATGTTTCCTAGGAAGTATTTTTTCTTTTAAATATAGTTATGTCGTGTTCATATAAGTTATATGTGATTTATTCTCGATCACTGCACTCGAACCCGTTTGATGTCGTGTTCCTCTGACCTCAGGTCAGTACCTGGACGGTACCACAGATGTGACCCGCACCATGCACTACGGACAGCCGACCGAGTTTCAGAAGGAGGCCTACACCCGCGTCCTGATGGGAGTTATTGACCTGGCCACAACAGTGGTCAATAGAAAGATCACTGATACACAGGTAGGTCAGGACGCCGCAATTTCGGCATATCTAGATGATATGACAAATTGATATTGCATTCGCGATGTGTTAGGAGCTTCTCAAAGCACGCTGGAAAAAGAAGAACCCTAGATATCAGAGGATATGCTGTCGTTTTGTGAGTAATATTACTTCCAAGAAAATTTAGGAGGGCACCCTAACCAAAAGCAATGAAATAGCACAAGTATAATGTCATTAGTCCGACGTGGCGGGCAGCTCGGGCAATATTTCTTGCCTAACTTTGTAGATCTCCGCAAATTCCTACCGAGCACCGTAACTAATTAGGTATGTACAGGCGGGCAGAAATATTTTCTTTGGTATGTATTATAAAAACATGTAAGATAATATGTTGGACGAAGAAGAAGGGAAATCACTCTTCCCGGTTCCCACTTTTATTTAGCTGTATACCCTAAATAGCTTATTTCTTCGATTTCTTTACATTGACTGAAAAGAAACCAACGGATATAAAACAATAAGTGCAAATTACTACCTTTATTTATTCACATGATGTGCGATGACCTAAATGACTCTATAGTGCTTGGGTACCGAGTGGGTAGTGTCAGCACTCAGCAGTGACCCCATGTGACCTTGCCTCGGTCCCTGACCCCGCAGCTGGAGATTGTGGCTCGCGAGCCGCTGTTCAGAGCTGGGCTGAGCTACCGACACGGCTCCGGACACGGCATCGGATCCTACCTCGGCATTCACGAAGGTGTGGAATTATACGTATTGTACAAACATCAACTTGTGTTGGCAAGTGAGTGCTACTGGCTAGTGGCACTGCTGTTTTTTATGATTCCAAGGCTACATGTCATCCAATTAAATATAATCTTCTTTAATATTCACAATGCGCAAAAGCTGTGTTGTTAAATGAAAAATATCATGTCGCTTGCATAGGTTCGCACCGGTACCTTTAATTGCAACTGTCGTGTACATTAACCTTACTTATTTTGTGTTCCAGGTCCCATTAATATTTCTTTCAGGAACAAATTGCCTCATGTTTTTGAGCTAGGACAGTTCCTGTCTCATGGTGAGTGGATTTATACTGTAGCATTTTATTAAAGCTAAAACGCTAAAACAGTGTGCTGCTCTGCAAATGACAATGCAGACATTTAAATGGTAAATAATGACATGTTCTGTTACGTGGCTTGATTACAAAGCGACATTGTACGTAAGATGATATGGTTGACATTATACTTGTCGGTCGTCTACCTACCAGCTCGTCAAGTGAAAGTCAAAAGAAAGCATTTGCCACTCAAGTGTCCGATGTTCGTAGATATTGCTGTGACAAAAAGCAATCATCTTTGTTTTCTCTAATTTTACTTTCCCTTTAACTGGTATCAACTTTTTCGTCTTGTTTCGGTTAATTGTTTTGACAGCTATCAACGTCGATAATTTGCAGAGCCTGGGTTCTACAAAGATGGGAGCTTTGGCATTCGTCTAGAAAATATAGTGTTGGTAAAGAACGCCGAAACTAAGGTAAATTAAAATACGATTTTTACGTTGTCCGTAGTGAAGCATTCGTAGCTATAATTCTTAAAATATTGCTTATGAGGGATATGATCAAGTTTGGGGGGTTTTGAACGTGGCAGAATCGTTTAAAATTTAATGTGTGTAGGACATGCACCTAGGTTGCCAGTTTATCATGATACTTTAAGGTGACCTTTCGCTACCATCATCGTTTTTGTGATATTGGACAGCGACCCAATACCAATTATGCATGTTTCAGCACAATTTTGACGGGCCTTACATGACATTCGAGCCGGTCACCCTGGTGCCGTTTGAGCGCGATCTCATTGAGCCAGATTTGATGACCGTGGACCAGGTAAGAACAGACGGCAGCGGGAGATGCGTCGCTGTTCTGTGAGCTTCTCGAGTTGAAGTTGACTAAGCATGATAAACTTGACCAGATTATAACATATTTTGGTGGAATGAGCTCATATCAGACGATAAATACTAAGTTCCAGAGAAAAAGATAACGCCAATCGTATGCCCAGTAGGTAGTAGGTACCCACTAAACACGGGCTTGAGGTTGGTGGGTACGCAGTGCATACGCTCACACCCTTCACCGGCTGCCGCCGTTTTTCCCGCAGGTGCAGTGGCTGAATGAGTACCACCAGCTGGTAGAGCAAGAGATGGGCGCCGTCCTGCGACAGGGGAATCGGCAGAGGGCTCTGCGCTGGCTCACAGCCCGCATCGCTCCGATAAAGCCGGCGAATATGACGCCATCTGCCTGACTCGGGAAAATGACTTTCAGCTAGCAGCACTGCCGCTGCTAATTACCTGGAGTCTCAGCTGATAATAATACTCTGCGTTCTGCTGTTTATTTTGAGGCTTGTGTTTTATTGTGTCGCCTCAACTTCATATTTGTAGAACGCCATTTGTTGCTAACGATGAATTCTTTTGTTTGTGAACTCGGTCATTTTATGAACTAAGGGGTTAACATTTATTCGAGGCTGTGTCTTTTAATTTTGATTCGAATCATCCCTAACCTTTCACATCCGTCCGTCGTTTCCATCCTCAGGACTTTCAAATCCTCCTTCTCCACGCCGCAGCCCTCGGTCTGGGCTGGATAGGCAACTTTATCTCATGCGGGCTGCTCCCTTGGAGCGGCTCCGCTGCTCCCAAGGGAGCACACCCCTAGCCGGGTGCAGTAAGTACTTGGGGACTTGGGGGTGGGGGGGGGGGGCTGGTCGGCCTGTCCTTTGGGACGGACTCAGCCCCGGTGACTTACTAGGATGCCTGCCCAGGCCAATGTCTCCTCCCTCTTAATTCCTATCATCCTTCCGGCTCTGAAATGGTCTTGCCAGACCGAAAGGGCCTAACCCAACGAAAAAAAACCTTACCTTTAGCTCTTTGTGATATTTACTTTACTTTGTTTATCCAACTGTACTGGCGAGCAGTGTGTTTTTACGAACTCAATCATCTTAGTATAGAATATGCCTGTAAGTTTTATGAAATAACGTTTTCTGTAATATACTGTTACTACGAAATGCGAAGTCTTTAGATGTGGACGCATTCTCAACATCGATCGCTCATCGAACTTTCCAAAGCATGATTTAGCCTTGAGCAACGATGAGTAGGGTTCACTCAGTTACTACGCGAATATCGATATAATTTTCAGTGTGTATTGGTCCCAAGTCACGCGTGACGAAGCCTTATAAATTTGATCTGCACATATGCACTTTGTATATTTTTTCATCGTATGTAATGTGATGTTATTCGCAAATAGCTTGGCCGTTTAATAAGCATTTGCATGCGTATTGCGTATGAAATGTCTGTAGGAATGAGCACAGCCATATTTGACCAAAACAGTGTGTATCTTGCATCATGTTGCTGTCCACTTAGCAAAGGCAGACATATAGAGTGATCGCTATGTAAAATAGCTGACTTCTGTTAGCATGGTAATCAGAACACATATTATCTTTATGTAGATCCTCATCACATTGATGCACTAGAAGCGTTCATATGATCTATGGCACCCGTTAAAAAGCGATGGCCTGGCTATAGTCATTACATGGATGTGACTTCACTAGCAGCTTTTTTTACCTTCCCTTTTGTCTTTCTCGCCAGGTCAGTATCTGGACGGTACCACAGATGTGACCCGCACCATGCACTATGGACAGCCGACTGAGTTTCAGAAAGAGGCCTACACCCGCGTCCTGATGGGTGCCATAGACCTGGCAGACCTCATTGTCAATAACAATACCGTAGACATGCAGGTAAGAGACGTGATCTGTCTGTCTTCCTGTCTTTCTCTGTCTCTGTCTCTGTCTGTCTGTCTGTCTGTCTGTCTGTCTGTCTGTCTGTCTGTCTGTCTGTCTCTGTCGTCTGTCTGTCTGTTTGTCTGTCTGTCTCTCTCCCCCTACCCCCCCCCCTCTCTCTCTCTCTCTCTCTCTCTCTCTCTCTCTCTCCGTCCATCTCACGGCTGTCTGTGTTTATTTCCAGCTCAGTTTGACTGTACGCCAACCGCTGTTCACCGCCGGCCTCAGCTACAGACACGGTTCGGGTCATGGCATCGGCTCCTACCTCGCCGTACATGAAGGTCAGGCTTACACCAATCACATTGGTGTGATGATTGGAGCCTAGAGACGTTCTTTTTTTAAATCGGTGAATGTCTAAATACATTAATGTATGTAGATTGCTTCACGGTTTGTGTTTAGGCATTGCGATACTACTTATTCGTAATTATTTCGTTGTAATGTCACAAAACGCTCTACATAACTATGTGATTCATGATGTTTTCTGTGCAGCTTCGTCGGCTTCGTCATGTTTTATTCATTATATATCGCTTGGGTTTAAATATGACGTCAAAAGTCACGCCATCTGCTAGAACAAATAAGCCCTAACTTGCAGTAATGTGCAATTTGTTACACTTTTTATCTCCCAATACTAAGTACAGATAATTATATGCAATCAGAAACAAAAAGGAAACACCTTTGCGTTTACGCCTTACTTAAATTAGCTCAACTAATTTGCATTTCATTGCACTTCTTGGAGCCACATATAGGGTGAATAGGTCAAAAACGCCCCCCTTAAGCGCGAAACCTTCTGACACGCAACCCAACACAGATTACTGAAACCTTTGGGCACCATCATGTAGCTCATTCTTTTTACTACGTTTTGAGACCAAGAAAATACACCTGCGTGTGGTATTTAACCCCCCAAAAAGGTTTTAGCATACCCTTGCAAAAGGGCGTTTTGCCCCATACCCTGGGTAATACGCCCACACCCATGTGCAAAGCGCCCCCACCCCATCTATCAACAGAAAATGATGAACATGGCAGAACTTGACGTCATTCTGACGTCATTTTTGGTCAACCTATCATAGCCTTTGGAATAAAATTTTGTTGTAATGTGTAAAATGGATGCCCGGAGGAGTCCTGAAAGTTTGGTGACGATATCTGCAGTCGTTTAGGATATATCAGCAAAAAAGGACAGGGAGAGGCCTTTTCGGCCCCGACCTATAGGGCGCTACCCTGCACTCTCACCACCGTGCAAAACGCCCCCCTTTCAGAAAACCGGGGGCGTCTTGCCCCATGCATCGAGTAGGCGTCTTGCCCCATCCACTCCATTTCCGGTCAGCAAAATATTGACAAAAAATGCGCCACTAACGCCGCAGCATAATATATTCAACAGAATGACAATAAAACGCAGTTTTGAGTGATGTGCACAATAGCAACGTTTGTGATATAAAGAGGGCATCAAACTATTAGGAATCTTCTGTAAAAACAACAAAAACAACATCCAAAACCAACATCAGTACCTACCCACGCTGCTCCTCAAGACTCAGAACCGGAAATAGAGACCTACGTAAACAAGCAGCTGACTGTTCTGAAAGACAGGATAAAACACCTATCCGTCGATAAGAAATACGATTTTTTTAGGGGAGGCGTTTAACCCAGGGGTGCGTTTTCCCCACAGTTACCCTAAGCCTTCGTAATTATGGTTATGCCTGGAAATTGCATCAATTCCGATGCTACCTTGAATTGTTCTGTTAATAAACATTAAACATGTTTCATTTTGTTTATCAGCTTTTAGTAAACGTTTCAATTGATACCAATATATCACTGTCTATTGTTCCATGGTTGTTTCCACTTTTACCTATTCAATCAGCATGCATCACTTTTGATGGTATCGCTAGCTACCCTTTGTCTTACGGTCACGTCGGTCACCCCGTTTGGTCAGATCTACGGGTCATTTCGAACAAATTTCATCAAAATCGAAGGGGGTCGGGTCAATTATTGATGGATTTGGTGTGGAATAACCAAAATATCCGGTAACACCACCATGCGTGTGCGGCAGGGCCGACCCTGATATCAACCAGCCGGAGAGCTGGGCATCTACTGGAAGTGGGACAGTTCTTTTCCGACGGTAAGTTTTAATTGCTCATGCCTGCGACTCTTCAGAATATCTCACATGTATTTCAGTAATAGTAAACAACAGCTGTGCTAGCGAATAGCGATACTATGATTTTCAAAAACCGCTGTTTACGAACAGACTGTGTGACGTTTGTTTCAGAGCCCGGATATTATCATGGAAGAGATTTTGGTATTCGTCTGGAGACGATACTTCTCGTGACGGAGGCCTCCACTCAGGTAACGAGTGCGCTGAGTCTGTCTATTGTGCGGTATGTTGCCGTGACATAATTGCTGGAACTCGTAGGAGAAGCGTGGTGCCGTGTTCACGCGTAAGGTCGCACTGTTCCCATTTCGTCCGTGACGACGTATTGAGAGGAAAACAATTATAACGCAAAACACTTCCATTGTTTCAGTACAACTTTGACGGGCCGTACATGAAGTTTGAGCCGGTCACTCTCGTACCTTTCGAAAGGAGTATGATCATCCCGGAGCTCATGTCTAGTCGTCAGGTAAGATATAAGCGTGGTCCAATGAATAATTTGGTAATCATACTAATGAGTAAAAAACCTATTGCTGGCACCATAGTGTAATTACGAGCGAGCGAGCGCAGCGAGCGAAGCGAGTCTTTTCAATATAACGGAAAAACCTCAGTATGAGCGGCCCGGCCCGGCCCGGCCTGTAACGCTTTTGAGAGGCTTATATCTCAGCAACCGCTGGACCGATTGACCTGCGGTCTTTTTTGTTGGGTAGCCCCATCCCTTCTACCCCGTAATATACTACTTTTGATACATCTCAGTGACCGTCGTGGCACGTGCCACGTGAAAAGTCAAGGGTGTTCAAGCTGTTTTGCAAAAGTACTGATTTTGAGAGGCTCATATCTCAGCAGCCGCTTGGGCGATTGTCTTGCGGTAATTTTCGTAGGGTAGCTGCATCCCTTCTACCAAAAATAGGATACTCTCGATGCATGTGGGTCACCCCCAGTGCACGTGCAAAATACAACAATAAGAGGCAGGGATGCGGAGCCGGAGCCGGAGTCGGAGCCGGAGCCGCCGGAGCCGGCATATTTTGCCCGGAGCCGGAGCCGGAGCCGGAGCCGTGAAACAATATAGCCCGGAGCCGGAGCCGGAGCCGGAGCCGCCAAAAAAGGGGGCGACTCCGGCTCCTTTTTATTTTTTGAAGAGGAAAAAAATAATTGACCTAGTTCGGTTTGACAGTACAAGGCAGTAAAACATATGGTACTTACGTCATGGGCCATCAAGTGAATGAAAAAATCCGAATATCCCCAGTATCCCACAGTACGCAAACAACTTCCTGTTTGCTCTTCCCCCCCCCCCCCCCCCCCCACGTCTACTGCATCCCCAGAACATGAGGACCAGTCATCAGGTGACGGCCATTGTTTTCAAACCAGTGCAGTGGACTGCGACTCCCAGCACCGTCTCATCCCACACCCCCCCCCCCCCCCACCCCTCACCCCCCAATGCAGCCGAGACGGGTGTCAGCTTACGATGGTTCACTGAACTCCGTTTCGCGGCGACTGCGTTTCCAATGCCATCGCTTCCTAGCCCTTTGTTCTGCCAGTTCTCTCCGAGGTGCGTTTGCACGGGGACGCGGTGAGCCGGTCATGGCAAAGAGTAACGCGTATAACCAATCCAATTTTTCTTCCACCCGTATTTAATTGATTGCGTAGGGGATGTACTGAGTCGGAGCCGGAGCCGCCGGAGCCGGAGCCGCCGGAGTCGGAGCCGCCGGAGCCGGACCATTTTACTCGGAGCCGGAGCCGGAGCCGGAGCCGCCATAACATTTCACCCGGAGCCGGAGCCGGAGCCGGAGCCGATTTTTTTCTCCGGAGCCGGAGCCGGAGCCGGAGCCGTCTGAAATTTCCACGGCTCCGCATCCCTGATAAGAGGTGTCAAATTTATTCCCATTTAATAACTCGGTAATTACTGGGGCGATTTCGCTGAAACTTGGCATACAGATAGGCACCCACCAGGCAATGCATTCCCATGTGTTGCGGCTGGGGTGCTACTGCACGTGCGCACGTGCAGGGGGCGTTTCCAGATCTCGAAAACGGCTGGGCTGATTGCGCTCAAATTTGGTACACGGTTGGGGACCAGTTAGTAGGGTGCCGTGCAAAAGTCAATTTGGACCCCGTTTGCACGTGCGCACGTGCAGAATGCCGCTTCCAGATCTCAGGAACGGCTGGGCCGATTGCGTTCAAATTTGGCACACTGCTAGCAACCGGTTAGAAGGGTGCTTTGCACAAGCCCGTTGGAAGTACCCTC